TCCCACTTACTCAGGAGGCTGAGGCAGGAGAATCACTTGAACCCAGGAGGTGGAGGTTGCAGTGAGCCGAGATCATGCCACTGCACTCCAGGCTGGGTGACAAGAGAGAGACTCCATCTCAAATAATAATATTACTTAAAATAAGAAAATATAGGAAAAGCACTTATGGTACTAAGAACGTATTAAGCACTCAATAAGTGGACATCAGAATCAACATCATTATTGAAAAAGCAAGCTTGGACTTTCTCAAAAACAAACAAACAAACAAACAAAACACCAAAAAAACCTATGGTTACCTTTAAAAATTTCCTTTTTTAAAAAGATAGGAGAAGAAATAATAGCACAATTTGGCTACAAAATTAAATAGCACAATTATCTAATAAGTATATTATTCTTTTCCAAATAGCACTGTGCTAAAGCTATTCTTATAATACACTACCATTTCTATTATGTAAAAAAAAATACAAAGAAGTCTGAAGAGCTCAGTTTGCTGATAAGTTCCAAGTTAAAAGTTGATATACTTTTAAATTTATATCTATATCCTCTTTGTACTTATATAATTTATACAATAATAGAAACTGGATTTATAGTAGGAGTTAAGATATTCACATCTTACAAAGTAAGTAAAAATATGAGGAAGATTGATCCATTTTCAAGAAATATGCCAAAAGTTATAAAAATAACTTCTAAAATAATGATCTTCTTGAAACTTCTCAAATTCAAAAAGCTCCCTCTCTATACTTTTAAGATTCTATAACTGACCATGTATTCCTCCTCTCCTGTCCTTTCACCTCATCAACTTACAGCTCTCTCTAGATTCAACCTTTCCCAGGAAGCCTTTTCTGGCTTCCCTATCCTTAATTTGGGTTAATCCTTCCAAGCACTTCCTCAGCAGGTAAGTCAACCTAATGTCATAATACTTATCTTACTAAAAATACTGTTCTTGGTCAGGTGCGGTGGCTCACGCCTGTAATCCCAGCACTTTGAGAGGCCGAGGCGGGTAGATCATGAGGTCAGGAGATCGAGACCATCCTGGCTAACACGGTGAAACCCTGTCTCTACTAAAAATACAAAATATTAGCCAGGCCTGGTGGTGGGTGCCTGTAGTCCCAGCTACTTGGGAGGCTGAGGCAGGAGAATGGCGTGAACCTGGCAGGAGGAGCTTGCAGTGACCCAAGATTGCGCCACTGCACTCCAGTCTGGGCCACAGAGCGAGACTCAGTCACAAAAAAAAAAAAAATTGATCTTTTGTATATTTCTTTCATTATAGATTAAGTACCTGGAAAGATCATAAGTTATTCATCTTAGTATCATCAAAACCTAGTATTAATGTCTATTAAATAAACGAACTTTAAGTGTCTGACTTAGAGAAAGATAACTAAAAGGTGTCTACTATTAAGCAGTATTTTATATATTTACTATGACATATAGACTATCTACACATATAGACTATCTACACCAAGCTTGTTCAAGACAGCCCAGAACAGCTTTGAATGTGGCCCAACACAAATTCATAAACTTTCTTAAAATACTGTGAGTTTTTTTGCAATTTTTTTTTTTTTTTTTTTTTAGCTCATCAGCTATTGTTAGTGTTAGTGTATTTTATGTGTGGCCCAACGTAAGTCTTCTTCCAATGTGGACCAGGGAAGCCAAAAGATTGGACATCCCTGATTTACACGGAGAAAATTTCTTTACAAAACCACATACTGACTTGATTAGTAAAACTGGTCCTAAAATCCCAATCTTGGACTTCTTTAAAAGCAGCAGAGATAATACTTCCCCTTATATGCTCTTAGTCCTGTTACAAAGCAAATAGCTGAACTAAATTATGCATTTGGCTTCTTGTAGTTGTAGTGTTCCATGAGATTTGAACCTGGTGCTATTAGAAAGAAACTCCAGCATCATACGAATAAGACGGCTCATTAAAAAATTTCAATTTACTCCTAGTAGGATCCTCAGAGCTATTTTAATGCAGCATACATGGTAAAAACAAACAAAAAACCTCTCACAAAGCCTGACAGGACAAAAAAAGAACTTTATTAAATATTTAAAAAATTGGAGGCCAAGCGTGGTGGCTCACACCTGTAATCCCAGCACTTTGGGAGGCCAAGGAGGGTGGATCACAAGGTTAAGAGATCGAGACCACCCTGGCCAACATAGTAAAACCCTGTCTCTACTAAAAAAATACAAAAATTAGCCAGTTGTGGTGGCACGTGCCTGTAATCTCAGCTACTCAGGAGGCTAAGGCAGGAGAATCACTTGAACCCAGGAGGCAGAGGGTGCAGTGAGCCAGGATTGCGCCACTGTACTCCAGCCTGGTAACAAAGCCAGACCCTGCCTCAAGAAAAAAAAAACAACTGGAAATCAAATCCCCAAATCAAGCATCAGAGAGTAATTAAAAAAAATAGTAATTATGTGTTTTAGGTACATTTGAGGGCTTCCTACAAGCAGGCCAACACAATTTAAAGGTTGACTGCAGCTGGTCATGGTGGCTCACACCTGTAATCCCAGCACTTTGGGAGGCCGAGGCAGGCAGATCACTTGAGGTCAGGAGTTCGAGACCAGCCTGGCCAACATGGTGAA